AAAAAAAAAAATAGGCAAAGATGAAAGAAACACCATGAACCAAGGAAGAAGATGAGAAGGGCCAGAAGGGCTACTTGTCATTCTCCTCATGAAGCAGGAAGAGAGGAGCAGCACCATTAAAACCCTTCAGGGAAAAATACTGTCAACACAAATCTCCCCAGGTGAAATTCTTGAGATTATTCATCCCCAAGGAAGCCCCACCTCATGAAGAATGAAAGGAAGTCCTTCCCATGAGAGAATGGAGATCCCTAGAGACAGTAATTAGATGGATAACCATAAATCATTTTTTATTTTAAAAACTGCTCTAAAAATAAATCCATAGTTCAAAAAAAGGCAATTGCATGCCTTTTTGCAGACATTGAAAAGCTGGTTCTGAAATGGATAAGCCAATGCAAAGAGCCTAAAGGAATCAAAGAGCTAAGGGGAAGGACTAACTACACCTGGTCCCAAGCCTGTCACAAAGCTTGGTAATAAGACAATGTGGGCGGCGCCTGTGGCTCAAAAGGGTAGGACACCAGCCCCATACGCCAGGAGGTGGTGGGGTGGGTTCAAACCCAGCCAGGGCCAAAAAAGACAATGTAACATTTGTATATAAACAGACAAACAGATCAACGAACAGAACACAGAATTCGGAAATAGAACCCCACACATAAACAGTCAACTGATTTTTGACAAAGGCACTTTTAATAGGGAAGTAATAATTTTCCTATTCTAGATAACCATAACAACTAGATAGTCATATGCAAAAACAACCATGTTCAAACTTTATCCCACATCACATACCAAATTAACTGAGAATGGATCATAGGTCCAAATGTTAATACAACTACAAGCCTTTTAAAAGAAAATACAGAATAAAATCATGGCCTTACATTTGGCAGATTTCCCATATGCAATACAAAAATGCACTGACTATCAGAGAAAAGAGTCTACTTCACATTACAAACTTTTCCTCTCTAAGAGGCACCTAAGAAAAGGGAAGGGGAGCCACAGAGTGGGAGAAAATTTTTACGAAACATGTATCTTACAACTCAGTTAGAAGACAACTTAATTTTTTAAAAATGGGTAAAATATTAGAAAGAAATAAAGGTGTAAATGTAGTCATAGATGAACACAGTACATTTTAAATTCCTCTGTGTTAATTTCCAAGACAGACATATCGGTAGACAAAACCCATACAAACAAAAGCTCTCGGGTGGCAAATAAGCATTTGAACAAATGCCTAGTCATTAGAGAAATGCAAATTATAACCAAAATGAGACACTAAAAGAGATATTAATCAGATACATTAAAAAGACCAACCAAGTAACCTAATTCTTTGTGCCTTCAATGAATCCCAAATAAACACACAAAAAAACACCAACCATACCAAGTGCTGATGAAAATGTGCAGCAATTAGAACTTCCATACGCTGTGAAGGAACAAAAAGCAACCACTTAGGGGTCAGGCACGGTGGCTCACGCCTATAATTCTAGCACTCTGGGAGAATGAGGCAGGTGGATTGCCTGTGCTCAGGAATTTGAGACCAGTCTGAGCAAGAATGAGACCCTGTCTCTACTAAAAACAGAAAAAAAGTAGCTGGGCATCATGGCAGGTGCCCACAGTGCCAGCTACTCAGGAGGCTGAGGCACGAGGATCACGTGGGCCCAAGAGTTGAGGTTCTTAGACAGGTAACCATACACTTACCATGTGACTGAGACTCCTTAGTAACATTCAAGAGAAATGGAAGCAGATACCTACACACAGACTCTCAAGAATGCAGACAGAAATGTGTTTTGCGATAGCTAAAATCTGGACACGTGCGATGTGTCACAGTGGATACTTGAATGGATAAACAAATCTTGGTTGATCTATACCAAGAGATACTACTCAGCATAAAAAGGAATTACTGACATATGGATGAAACTCCAAATTATGCAGAAAGAGGCTGGATAAAAATGTGATGTATGATTCTATTCAAATAAAATTCCAGAAAATATGAAGTAATCTATAGTAAGAGAAACAAAATGAGCAGTTCCCCGGAGACAGGGAAAGGATAAAAGGGGTGTAAGAGGCCAGGTGAGGTGGCTCACACCTATAACCCCAGCACTCTGAGGGTCAAGGTGGGGGGATCGCTTGAACTCAGGACAAGAGTTTGAAATCAGCCTGAGCGAGAGTAAGGCTTCATCTCTACTAAAAATAGAAAACCTAGCCAGGTGACTT